GATCGTTTTTTATAGTTAACCATGAAAAAGTCTTAAACTACTGCGAGCTGATGTGCTTAGGGCTGTTGTCTTTCAAAATATTCAGTGCTGGCTTGATGCAAATAACAGGAGGGGATATTTCTGCGTTCCCCACGCTTTTTCTTAACTATCTTTATTTCTTCAACTTCTTTGCCTATACTACTGAAATCTTCATATACTTTCTATATTTTCCAAAATTATGGCATAGTTAAGCAAGGAGGTACAAAGTTTTTCTTACGAACTCACTCCAGCTCATATACATAGTTTTGGTTATTTGTTTAGAGGATGGGCATGTCAGAGCAGCCTTTGGTGCAAATTGTTGCATTTTTGCTCACATTGGCAGCATGTGCAAAGAATTTCCATACAAATCCTATTTTTCTGTATTTAATATTAAAAGTTATTAAAACAGACCCTAGAAGAACAGCCTATACCATAGCCCAGAATTTAACTGCTTTTTTCAGTTTCAGACTTTTTCAGTCTGGCATTGTAAAATATTTTTCTTGAAGTAAAAGGAGCCTCTCCCTCAATTACAGTGGAAAATTTCTATTGTTTTTTAAGTTGCTTTTGAAGCACTTAATATAGAAGAGTTTGTCATGTTTGTGCTCAGGGGGAGACTCAGTGTCATGAAGTCTCTGAGGGAAAATGGTCGTCTTTAGAATAGGAGAAAATGTCAGAGGAGAGAATACATCGGTGTAAAAAATTCAGCAAAAACAATACAGTCTTTTTAAAACTAGCTCCTCGCGGTATTTTTTAAGGTCAAAACCAGGCAACCTGATATGATTGATTAGTTTGTTTTATTCTACATATAAGTTCTGAGCTAAATTACAAACAAAAATGATTTGGCAGGCAGCATGATAATTGCACTCAGAAATTTTCTTATTCAGAAAATTTGAGGGGAGACATTTTGGCAGAAATCTACATCTAAATGAGCAAATTTCACAATTTACTACTTCCATAATGTTTTGTGAATATTGTACTGAAATCATGCCTGTGTCTGGAGCAATTTAACAACCTCAGCTCCAGACAATGTCGTCTTAACGTGGAAGAGTTTATACAGCACTTGCTCCATCTTCTGTCTGGCCTAAACCAACATTATTATTCCCTTCTTTCCTGGGCTTTAAAATCAATCATTTCAAGAGGTGAAAGAAGTAATGGCAGCCCTTTAATAAGGCCTTGCTATTTCTTTGGCTGGAAATGAAGATTAAGGTTCTTTTCCATAAGGAAATAGTGAAAACAGTGTGAGGATGCAGTGAACCTATTTCTTCATGCAAACCAATAACAGGAGATACACAGGCTGCCTTCAGAATAGTCCATTTCCAAGCCAGCACCCTGCACAAATGAGCTCACAAGGGGAAGGCTCAGATCCAACCAAGGCCTAATTATGAGGGTTTGTGAGGAGCACTGGCTCTTTGGAGGGGCTGAGATGACCCATAATGTTGATTGTTTCAAGAAAAAATAAAGAAGAATTTTAAGCAGGCGGTTTTGGAGGAGAAGCAAGTATGTAGCTATGTTATAGCTTGTCAGCAATAACATACCTCCCAGAAAGAGCTGACCGGCATGAGATCCCATTTATTCAGCACTTGGAAAACGGACGAGAGCTCCTGGAATATCGGTGTGCATTTGGTCTGACTCCCTTAGGGGATTTTTACCAAGGAGAACTAAAGGTCCAGAATAGTATGAGATAATCAGAAATGTGTTTAATAGCTGGTCTCCAAACAGGTTTTTCAGTTTGAGGATCACTAAGAGCTTTCCTGGGGAGAGCGGTAGAGGGTTGTGGCCATCCCACCTGGAGCAGCTGTGTAGACAACTCCTCCTCCTCCCTCTGTAGGTGATATACTGGGTTTGTAACAGGGATGCTTGGGGCTGCCAGGGAGGGAGTGTCCACGCATATTCCACTGCAGACCATGCACCCAACATAGTCTGAGTAAGCGTGTGGGAATCTGGTCTTTCATAGTAGGGTTCATAAGTAGGTGAACTCCATTTTCATGCCACCTTCAGGCTTGGTGACAGCCCGGTATCCCCTGGCCGCTGCTATGTAGCCTGTCTCCAGCTCATTCCTACAGTTTGTCTGAAGTCTGCTAGATCAGGCTTGGCAAAGAGGGGTGTATTCTTGATCCCCTTGCATGTGACACTGAAGTTTCCTGCGGGTGAGGGAATGAATGTTGCTACTCTAGGGAAGAGGATTCTCTTCAGAAGAGATGAGGAACAAACCAAAATCTACCAAGAGGAAAATGTCCATCTCTCAGGAGTGTTTGTGGGGGGAAACTAGGATCTTAGACTGCTTTCATAGCCTGTGGTAGAAAAGAATAACTCAGAGCATGAGGATGGATGGATGGATGGCTACCACCTGCCTTCAGAGGTCTACACCACAACCTGGACGAGTGTGCTGTTACGTGCTGATTATAGAGGCAGTTTATAGTACCTAGGTTTGAAAATGAGGTGCCTCCAGACAGTATGCAATTCCATCAGTCAGCCTTTCTATCTGCATATTTATCAAAAGGTTTCAAGGCAAACAAACAAGATTTTGCTACAAAAGAAATTTCCCAGCCATTCTGAACAACTTAAGAAGGAACTCAGGAGATGCAATTTTGTTTTTCCTCAGCCATATTAGAGAAAGGGAAGATGACTTTGCTTTTTTGCCTGCAGCAGAGCTCTTTCCTGGTAGACCAAATGAAAGACTTTTCCTTCTGCCTTATCAGGTATCAAAGGTGGTTTATGCAACATTTCTCATCATGCTAGAGTTTTCCTCTTCTCAAAGATGATGCAGTGAGCAGAACTGACAGGACTTGTCTGGGCTCTGGTCTGAATTATTGGCTATAATTGGTACGTCTGTCCCTTAGCTCCACCTGTGTTATCTGAAGCATTACAGGTTTGAATTCTTAAAACTGTATAATCTGTTTATTTGGGGATGATGTTTCCCCCTCTGTTTAGAATATCTTGCTCCTCTTCTCACATGAGTAAAAAAACCCGAGAACTAGATAATTCATTAGACAAATAATGAAGTACTTTTTTGTTCTCCCATAAGAGGTTTTGGTTTGATTCACTAGTTTTCTCTCTTCCTCCTGCACTCAGAGGTTACTCTCTGTTGACATAATCAAGATACCTAACCAAAGAGATTTAGTCTTAACAGGAATAGCTGACTTGGAACTTAAGTAGCTAATGCATACAAGCTTGAGAAGATCCAGAAGAGGTTGTAGGGCTATTTTTTCTGGAACGGGAATTTTGCAGCTGCTGTTAGTAGGAGTTCAGTATGACGCTTACCTGTTCTCTTATCCACACCTTACAAAAATGACTTTAGGGTACACATAAAGACACCTTCTGGTTAAAAACCATGAGAAGAAAAGACATAATTTTACTCCACCAGCAGCAGTTGTGGGTGACACTTTGCCTATAGAGCCAAAAGCTATCTGGGTACCCTTCAAACTTGAAGGGTCAATGCTCAACAAACCCCTCTTGCCCCTCCACATTCGTAATGGATCTTGTCTGCTTCAAACCTGTCATCTTGAGCAATTTAATGGTTAATCAGCTCCATGGACCTCTTCACAGGGGCCTTGCAGACATTATGGGTTATGGTCTATGGTTTATAATGACTGATACATACCTTCTAGCAAAAGAGCAGAAGTTCCTGTTCCAACTGCAGGATTTACGGAAGGTGGAAACTGTAGGCATCAGTGTCCTCATCTAGGGTCTGCCCTGATTCTAACTGGCCTTTGAACAGGAGTTCACAGGAAAAGCTAATTTTTTCACGTTGGAAAGACTGCACAAAATCAATTTCTAAACACTCCTCTTGCAGCTGTTTTTGGACTTGCTACAACAGCCCCATTACAGTGGGAATGTACAGCCAAAGTTCTTGGCCTGAAGGGGCAGAGCCAGAGTGTAACTGTGATACAGCATCAGGTCACAAAACAGGCAATAAGGAGAATTCAGTTAGTGTCTAATTATTGCATTCAGTTTTGTTCTGAATGGTCTTGAAAACATTGCCTCTAGTGAAGAAATAAGCTCTGTACAAGTAGAGGCGGCCTTTTGCTTAAAGGCTAGGCAGGCTTTGGCTCTTTTCTCTGGTTTTTGGTGATGTTGGCCTCAAATTGCCTTGTTATTCCTATCTGTAGACCAGTGATGATAATGCCCTTACATTTTAAAAAAGTTTGAGGTCTGCTAATGAGGTATACTGTATATAGGCTTTATTAGTGTTCTTGTTTGTAGAATATTACTATACACAGAGTTGTAGCAATGTGACTTCAGAATATGTAATGTAATTATTTATGCTGAGTATAAATACCACCATGCAATACTGTCTGTGCTGTGATAAAATGACATTATGCTGCTCTGACATTTACCAAAAAAGCCTCCTTTTTCTATATTGCATTTGCTATGTCTCACTGATGTTCTGCTACAAAATGAAGGTAATGGATGAAAGGACAAGAAAAGCATTTTGATTTTATTTTCTTAAAAAATGAGATATTTGGTATTAATAGGAGCTTTTCCCTTCAAAACCAGGCTGCATATCAGTTGTTACACAGTTGCTGAACTTTCCTGCAGTCATGTTCAAAGGAAAATTATTAGGCAGAAAAGCCATAGGGTGAAGAAGATGAAATTATATTTTTCTTGTGGCAGTATGACTCAAAAGTATAATTATTGTTTATCCTTTGAGGACATCATCAGTGTTGATAAATACAATTACTTTGTTTGCCACCCCTTGACTAATTCTTAAGGTTTTAGGCAGTCAGCAGTGGACCTAATGTGTTTAACTTTGTAATAAGGAGAAACAGAAATTGTCAATTAAATATTTGATCATACTAATGCGTGCTAGTGGTATAGTGCTTACCTTACAGTAAAATAATCTACTGAAATCTGTCACTAAATATTAGATGATTCCAGCTGAAAGGTGCCTTACAAGGTCATGGTGGATTTCCAAAACAGATTTGCGCCAGCTTAAATAAGTACATTCCTGAAGTTGAAATTTTATTTTTCTCTTTTTGCAGGGATCCCCAGAATTTGTATCCCCCTGAGGTCAGCAATGCAAAGCTTCAGTATGCTGGTTGGGGTCCAAAAGGGCAACAGCTGGTAAGAGAAAGAACAAGTGTGCAAATGAACTTAGAGACCATGCTGCTATTGTTTGGAAGTAAAGAAAGAATAATTCTTTATTGACTAGTTTCTTGAAATCTGCGTGGTACCTTCTAGCATCTTTATTTGGATTGTTTTATCATGTAATTTATTTATAAAATTCCCAAATATATAAATTTATTACAAAGTAATTGTGTCTAAAAATGCAGAGAAAGAACACTTTCTGAAAGCTTTTTGAGAGGATGCACCTGCTTCTCCCAATGTTGGACACCGGACAGATTATAGACATAATAGACAGTATGATTTAGTTAGCATATCATTGCTTCACAGGGGTGTCTTTAGACTTACAAACTTGGCACTAGGGATATTTTAATATTAGCAGCCCTGTTTGGAGAATGCATCTCTCCAGAACAGAGTTGCCCTGCATTTGCCCTGTAGTTATTTCCAAAATGGAAAAATGTAGAAGTGTATTCTGGAAAGTTTTCAGAGCAGGCTTTAAAAAAAACCACTTGTCAGGGATTCATTGTGTTTCATGGAGCCTTTCATACTGCAACAATCCTGAAATCTCCAGTGTTTTGTCCCTCGGCCACTGCCATCTTGGATTTCCCATTTTTTAGAGCACGTATTTCCTGGCCAAATCCCCTGGCTTCATTTCCTGGTGCAAATCCAATATTAAGATTTTGCGTATGCCAAACACTCTCGTTCTACTGTAACAAGAAAAGAAAAAGTGTCAACTTCTTTTTGATATAGAATTTTTATACCAAAAAATGAGATTTAAAAGCTCATTATCTGAGAAAATCTGGCATATGTCTCCTGTCCCCAGTGCTCTCTTGGGGATTTTTTGTCTGTGTCCTTAACTAGATTGTTTTTGTACTGTTTAATATCTTCATCAATGACATAGACAGTGGGATCGAGTGCACCCTCAGCAAGTTTGCAGATGACACCAAGCGGAGTGGTGCGGTCAACATGCCAGAGGGACAGGATGCCATCCAGAGGGACCTGGACAAGCTGGAGAAGTGGGCCCGCGTGAACCTCATGAGGTTTAACAAGGCCAAGTGCAAGGTCCTGCACCTGGGTCGG